TTCGAAAACAATTGAAATGTGCTACTCTAAGAAAACGAACCCTCCTCCCCACCCACCCCTTTTTATAGGAAACGAACAAATTAAATCTGTCTCTTCTCACAAACATATTGGGGTTCATCTCTCGTCCACCATGTCCTGGACCACACATATATCCAATTTACTAGCCAATGCCTCTAAAAAAGTTTCCACTTTTAGTAAACTTAAATTCAAACTTCCCCGAAAAGTTTTAGAAATTATTTACAAGTCTTTCATTCGGCCCTCACTCGAATATGGCGGCGTTGTTTGGCACAGTTGTACTTCTATAGATTCACAACGTATTGAACGAATGCAATATGAGTGTGCCTTAACTGTAGCCGGAGCGATCAGGGGGTCCTCTTATAAGTCTCTACTTACTGAACTGGGATGGGAACAAATGTCTGATTGCCGCCATGTTCAGTCTCTTATTTTATTCTATAATATCATCTACGGTCACACTCGACAATACTTAAGAGATTTAATACCGCCCCTAGTATCAGACTCCTCTACTTACGACCTTCGTAATAAACTAAATCTTCAGTTGCCAAAATGTACCACAACCCGCTTTAAAAAATCATTCATTCCCTATACAACGTATCACTGGAACAACCTTACCTTAGCAGACCGTTCACTGAGTTTCCCACGCTTTAAGAAAAAAATGATCAAATCTGTGCGCCCTGTCCCTGTTTCATACTTCAGTATAGGTCCCCGGTACACCTGCGCTCTTCTCACTCGTTTTCGACTTGGTACTCATAGTCTAAACTCTAATCTGTACTCTCGAAACCTGGTATCTAGTTCTGCTTGTACTTGTGGCCACCCCTGTGAAAGTATTCATCATTATCTTCTGCACTTCCCAAAGTTTACTCAATATCGTGTCTCCCTCTTCAGCAATTTAATCAAACTTGTAGGATTTGCCATCAACATCCAAAACCTTCCCGATAATCTCCTAGTACAATTACTGCTTAGAGGTTCCTCTTCTCTGTCGGTTTCTAACAACGCTAAACTCTTAGATAAAAAAGCCTAAAAACATGCTAACAATACCTCGATACCCTACCTCTGCTGGAGAGTATACTCCCAACGCTCTGTTGCTCGTGTTTTGTTTTGCTTCAAACCTTCTCTATGCCAAAGTCTGAAGCTCGCTCTGTGGTTTACTAGCTATAGTACTGTTGTAATAGCTTGTTTTAGTCTGTTAGGGTTTCTGTTAGGTTCTAAAATTCCCCATGTTCTGCTAGGTTTAACCCTACCTAGACCGGGGGGGGGCTAAAAGTGCCCGCGGCAACTTTGATGTCACCTAGCGTCTGAACGGCTAGCCGTAGAACGGCCAAACTTGGTGACTTTTCCTAGAATATTGTTGGCAACAATTCTCTATCATTGGAATAAGATAATAATTTTTGTGTTGCCATGGCAACGGGTTTCTGACAGGCATTTTTTGCTAAATTTAGTACTTCTTGTTTCAACAATAAAATTTTATGGGTTTTATGTCAAGTTACTTATGGTTTCTAATATTAATAACATCCCATATAATTTTATGTAAATTTTATCATTAAATATGCATTATTTATGCTAATTTGATGACGTCATTGGCCAAAATCCTAGATGGCGGACCATATCATCAGGGTTAAACAACACTGGTAATGCGATTAAAACTCATTGCCATGAAAAAAGCCACAGCCCAAATTCTTACAAAGATTGAAGCTAAATTTCTACCTTGAGCAGGTCACGTGCCCAGACAATACAAGCACGGTCGTCCTAAACAGAGACCGCTTGTATCACCAAGGAGACCATCTCACCGTAAGGATCGTGTCGAGAGACCAAGAAGGAAGGCCGAAGACTTACGGAGGAGACTTTTTCCGTGCCAGACTCTTCAGCAGTGACCGCTCGATACTGGCAAGTAGCGCCGGTCACGTCACGGACCACTCTAACGGCACATACACGGTGAAGTTCCCGCTCTACTGGGCAGGGGGCGTTTCGGTAAGTACAGTGATGGAATTTGCTTTGTTACGAAGTACAAACGCCACAAACGGCATTTTTGTAATACTTAAAGAGGCATTATGTAAACTTTTTGCACCAAATATTGAAATATTCTAAAGGAAAAATTCTCCCCGTGATTGATTATGCTTACCAAAGGAAAACATAGTTTTTTGCTCTGTTTACTCTTATATTTCTCCTCCAAACCAATAAGATAATGACCTGAATCAGACGTCTATCACCATTGTAACTAGTGTTGGGTCACATCATGTTGCATTTTTATAGCAGAAGGGATTTAGGCTCTTGTTTGACCATAGATACGAATGTCTTTGAGTAAGAATCAACAGAGCAGGTCAAATGCGAAGGTTAACAAATGTTATCTTTCTGGTTCACTTCTGAGTAATAATCTCACATTTCTGACATTTGTAGTTGGCGCAAAAACCACACGAGGCGCACCTAGTTTTGGGTACCACCACAAACTACCAGAATGTAAACAAAAATGATGGATGACAACTGTGTTTCCAACTTTTGAACACATTCGTATATACAAGGCGTTATATTTTGGCACCTCCACTTCCTGAATGGTACTTATTTGCAATTAGAGTAGAGTTGATTCAACTTGCTTTATAAAGAAATGACCAGAAAATTTACTTTTTGTATCTTTCTAATGTTACAGAATGCAGTCTGCCGTTATTGCTTTCAATTAGGATGAGAAGATGTTTTTGTGTACAACGATGTCTTTTTGTTAAAAGTGTTAAAAACAACCCCATAGCGACATTTGCTACTCTTATTTTGGGGCGTAGCCTTTTCTACATTATGTCAATGTCTGATCTTTTTTTTCATATGTATTAGATACAGATCCAGCTAGTCCATCCAAGCGAGGCAGTGAAGGTTCTAAAAAGAGTCCGAGAAATTCCAAACAAGAGGGTCTTCTACTGCAGCTTCGTCGACGAGAAAACGAACGCTACCAACACAACACAGTGTTTCAGTTCTGCCAACCCCAGCCTACCGCCTCAACAACAGTGCGACTTCTCAAAGCCGGAGGTGAACGGGACCTGGATTTGTAAGAAGCCGGACAAACTTTCGTGTTCCACCATCTCAAAGTGCCGGTGGGATTCGGACAAGAGCAGGGCAAATGTGCTGGAACTTGTATCTGAAGAGGAAAAGAAACTTTTCCAAAAGTAAGACCTTCAGCTATTTGCACCAAGCGTTTCTTTCCATCGTTATGCCATCAATGTAAGTATGTTTTGAAGCACATTTGTCGCCACACGTCGTGGGGTCGTGTGGCGCAATGGCAGCGTGCGCGACTCGGAATCAAGAGGTCCCGGGTTCGAGTCCTGACATGCCACCGATCTTGTGTCCTTGGGAAAGGCACTTTACACGACTTTCCTGGTATTTGCTACCGTTAGTAAACCCAACTTTTCGTGCATTGTTGAGTTACATGGAACAATTTTATCGATACAGTGTTCATTTTCATGCCACACGACACACAGGCCATATCTTGAAGAGGAGCTTGAAGTAGACCCCAAGGAGCCCATACGTGTTCTGAAAGCAGAACTGTCCACACCTCAACACCTTCCAGCGTGTACGTGGGACAAGTCTGCAGCTTTGGGACATTGGTCAGGCAAGGTCTGGAGATCATCCGTCTGCGATGTTCGAGTTTTCACTAAGAAAGCCATCCAGCGGTGCCTGGCTAACAAGACCGTGTACATACAAGGTATGTATCACTTGTGGTCTTATAATTAATGATTGCGCTTCCGGATATATTTGATACATGTACAGTCCATTGTTACCTTCGCCAAGAATGTTATGTTTTCAGTAGCGTTTGTCCGTCCGTCTGTCTGTCCGTTTGTGAACAGCATAACTCAAGAAGCTTATTATGCATTTTCATGAAACTTGGTATGTCGGTAGGTCTTGATGAGACCTAGAAATGATTACATTTCGGGCCCCCTGGCGGCTTTTGTTGCTACTGCAGCAGAACTTCCGGTTTTGATATCTCGCGATCTGGACATGCTAGGGTCACGAATTTTTGTTGGTAGATAGCTCTTGGGGTAGGAAAGAAGTGACATGAGTTTGGGCTTGTTCTGGAACTGCAGGAGCATTTGTTAAAACATTTTTTATTCACTTGAATATTCATCTCAAAACAAGGCTCAGAAGAACCACTCACATGTAATGTACTGTGAATTCGAAGACAGATATTTGTTTACCTTAGAGTTTTAAGGTTGTGCCCATTTGGGAAGCATTCGCAAGCAAGCTTGTTCCATAGTGATGTTTTTCTAAGAGGCTTTCAGTGTGGAACTTCCTCCTGAGATATGGAATTTGTTAGAAGAACTAGAAATGGTGACATGTTTCCGTAGTAGTAGCAAAACGTGTGCTGGCCGAGAAAGTTCGAAGCGGGGGCACAAGCGAGTTATTATAATTTTTTTCTTAGTGGTCGCCACGTAACACGGCCGTTAGGCCACTTCAAGGTGAATGCTGCTACCAACCGAATGGTATGACCACTCACCTGGGTTAAGCTAAGGTCCCAATTGAGAAAAGGGGCCCTGGCGGGTAGTTCCCGGGCTGTTTTTTACCACTTTCAGGCGGGACCCCGACGTGGCCCCGCGGGGCACTCTGCGGCTACCGGGCTATTTTTTGGCCCGTCGGGGCCCCGATAAGAATTTAATTCTGAGTTAAATTCTACCCGGGCCCCGCTGACAAAAAGACGCCGAGACCTCATCGTGAGAACACCGAGAGGTACCCCTCCGGTTGCCGGCAGTCCACCGGGACACATTTCTTACGTCACAGACCAGATGAACAGAATAAAGGTGTGTACTTCGTAAACCCGGGTAAAATGTGTGACCTCACAGATCAAATGATCACAACAAATACGTGAATTCTGCATTACGTATAGGTCAATACAAGTCATCGTCAGAGAATCTGCCTGTTACCTGCCGGGTGCCTGCCGGATACCGACCAAAGAGGGTGACAAAATTTCTAACAAAATGCTACTGAAGGAAACTTTTAATTGTGACCACGACAGCCGATGCCCGCCCGACTCCTGAACCCGGCAGGGGCCAGCCGGGGCTACATCCCCGACGGGCACCGGCGTAATTGGGACCTTAGCTTTACGGGTTACCGAGTAGAACTGTAACAGCAGCTCTTCTCCCTGAGTCAGAAACATCATGATTGAGACCAGCTCAAATTCTCACAAGTAGTAAGAACGAACTGACCCAATAGGAGAAGCAGGGGTTACGAGGCTGGTCGGACTTGTTCGGGTACGACCAGGAATGGAACCCGCGTCTCCCCGTTTGATAGTCCAGTGACCTACCACTACGCCACACGACGCATTTGCCACGGAAATAGCGATAGATCTAGAGTTAGGCCAGATCTTACAACGATACGCCTTTGGGAAAGAGTTTGTAAGGTGGTAAACATGTCATTCCCAACAAGTCTATTGAGCATAACATTCAATGTAGTTATTTCTATTCCTTCTAGGTGACTCCACGATTAGGCAATGGAGCAAGCGTTTGCAGCAGTTAGTACCGTTAAACTACGACAACACTACCATGGATTCTACAGGTCTGTCAATGTTTTCTATAAGGCCTCATCGATCACTACATGAGATTTCCTAAAATTTCTTAGGCCACAGCAAGTTATTGTTATGAATGACATCAGCGCGCGCATTAACTTTCGCCTGATTTTGAAAAAAAAAAGAAATTTTGTTGCCTTCTGACAGTGGTTAACATGCCGATAATGGGCAAGGATACCTGTTGCCATGCCAGAAGGTGGATGGCAGATAACTATGAAGAGAGGAGACAAGAAAAGGCTCTGATTTAATGTTTTGTTTCTTACTTTGATGCAGTGATATGTGATGCTGGCTGTGTACATGTGATGTTCCTACTGAATCAAAACCATTTGTACAGTGATTTTAAATGGTAGGAACCTTGTTTTTTCGGCCCGCCTTGCTTTTTTGTCGCCCGCTCGCATTAGATTTGGAATCTGCGGGGGATGCCATCTATAAAATTTACTTGCCGTGGCCTTATAAGAAATGCGTGCGTTCCATGATACAGCGTCGATGGTGAAGCATGCAAAGCGGTGCTCTGAATACTTTTCCACTAGCATTGTCATGTAGATAGTACTCGAAACAGCAGCCTGCCACAAGAAGTATTCCTAAACTACAAGAACTGACCCTTAACTGGTGTATTTTTGTTTGCAGCTCTTCTAGGAGGAGACAACAGCCAGTGGAACATCTCAGTTCGCTACCGGTTTCACCACTTCCCTCTACAACAGGTCGATGGGAATGCCTTCCATGACTTCCGTTACGTTGTTGATGAGCTGAACGCCACTCCCGGAGGCCCGAACATGGTAATAGTTTTGAGTCTGTGGGCTCACTTCACGGCAGAGCCGCTAGAACTGATCCGGTCCAGACTGTACGCCATACGGGCCGCCATACACCGTCTGAAGCGCAGGGCTCCCGGCACGCGGGTTTTCGTGAGAACCGGAACAACGCGAGAGCACCACGATGGAAACTTGGAGTTCTTCTTGACTGGGAGCGACTGGCTGGCTTACCAGATCACGGAGGTGATACGAGAGATGTTCCGGGCGGATCCAGACGTGGTGGTGTTAAACACGTGGGACATGAGCGTGTGTCAGCCGGGAAAAGACAACGTGCACCCAGACCAAACCATGGTGGACAGTCAACTATACATTCTGTTTTCTCATATCTGCCCAAGCTATATGGTTGCAAATGTAGGTAAAACAGTGTTTTAAAATGACAATGAGAGACGGGAAACTTCACCCCCCACTTTGTACATGAGAAATCGCAAATCAAAATCCAAAAAGTATGTTTTACTTCTGAAAAAATTCCAAAACACAATTTAGAATGTAATACGGCAATAGATATTATATGATTTACTACATTTTGTGTTGATGATGTGATATTAGTAATCCTGTGTCGGAGACCGTGACTTTATTGATAAATCTCAAAGGAAATGTAAGACAAACTCATGGAAAGTTCATCTGTGTTGGTAGTGATGTGTTTAGTTTTTATTTAACACAAAGAGTTACCAGTCACTCTCATCTTCTTCAACAGACTGACCCAGTGAGACTTGTCACGTGGCATCTCTGAAGTAAGACGTCAACACTGGGTCAAAGGTATCTAATAATCGATGTCGACCCCCGTCACGGTTGAGTGATAGGTGATTGGCCCTGAGTAGCAACATTTACGGTACACCTTTACCCAGTGTTGGCGTCACACTTAAGCACGTGACGCTCGTTTTTCAAGGATACAATATTAAAACATTTTAAAAAACAAAACAAAGATTTAAGAGATCTACCCAAACATAAGTAATGTCTACCTTTGTTGGGTGTATAATAACCACAACAAGCAAGACTGTATGCATGAAAGTTCATCTGAGTTGGTAAATTACATTATGAACAATTTAAACTGTTCTCGAACTTGACTCAACCGGGACGGGGGGCGACATCGACTTCAGACAACCTTTGACCCTTTGCAGAAGTCACACGTGGGAAAAATCACGTGTCCAGAGCATTTGGGTCAGATAGCTGAAGAAGACTGAGTGATTCAGTCGAAAATTCGGGTGAGTGAAATTTATGCGTTGGAGAACAGTTTAAATTTTTCATAAGACTGTATGTGTATAAGCGTCTCGTCGACCTTGGAAGAAAATGGCGACCAAAATACTCAGAAATCGGGTCAAAGGTCACATAGCCGGTAGCGCTGCCCTTATTACCTGTGCAAAAGTACAAAATGTCAGCTGGACCTGTAAGTATTGTTCTTTGGTAGCAAACCCTGTCAGACTGACTGACTACAGCAAATGGTGATTTGTGTCATACTGCCATGTGTCAGAAAAATGCTCAGTATATCGTGATGATTGTACTACTACCCCTTATATAATTAGTTCAATGCATCTAAATTATTACGTGTTTGAAAGTGTGAGATCGTAGAACTCTTGTTGTATCTCCTGCTTCAATGACAGACGGTATATAACGTGTAAAACCATGCATTGTTTTTTTTAAGTCTTTCTTTATTGAATTTTCCAAAATAAATTAACGGTAACAAAATATGGCATGGCATTGTGCAAAAAGGAATACATGGTGAACCACAAAAACAAAACGTAAAATCCAGGTACAATAGTGTTGTGCAAATTTTTACAGATACACCATGCATTGTTTACAGCATCCACATGAAGCTTGTTTTCTGTTTAGGCCACGTTAATTTGATTATATGGATGACATCCTTACGAAACCTCAAAATTGATGCGAGCGTGCGAATAAAAAAGGTTTGGACAAAAGTTGTTTTTATCATGAAATCTCTGTGGTCATGAAGGTTGATCAAATAACACAGACGTGACGTGCACACTACACTATTACACCGTGCGAGTGACGTGCGTCGACGTCACTCCTTCCCCACGTTTTCAGAAAAAACGTAGCAGACGTAGCCTCCCAAACAACGTACGGACAAAAAGCACGTACGGCGGGTTGTGACCTAGCCTCCTTCGCAGTCTTGTTGGGCGTGGGCGTAATTTTTTCTGAGCGACGCGAGTAATATGCCGCCGCGAGGGACGATTTGCTGCCGAGGGACTTTTGCCACGGAGAGAAGGTTCAGGTACGAACAATGAGGTGCTATTCTGAAAACACTACCTCCTGGTAAGGCCACACGAAGTAAATTTTATGGATGACGTCCTTTGGAGACCCTAAATCTAATGCGAGAGGGCGAAAAAAAAACCAAGAAGGGCCCTAAAAAAACAAGATGCCTAGATAAGAAATATACTAAGAGACGACAAATGTTAGAGCACAACTTGAATGAGGTGACACAGTGTAACAAGCAAGAAGTCTTTTATTCGTAATCAAAACAGCAATAAATCAGGTGGAACAGCAGTTGTCGTCCTGCCCTGTTCTCGCGTTACGAGTTTCACGTCAATCTGACGATTTGTGGTACTGTCGTGACTCTTTGGTCATAGTTACAGGAAGTGGAATTTCTTGTCTTCTTTTTCTAGGAACAGGCCGAAATCAATGCGCGCGTGGACGTCATCCATAAAATTTACTTGGTGTGGCCTAAGATAAGAAAACAAGCAAATAAGCTTTTAGCTGGCCCCGCCCCTTTTGAAAACAACTGACCCCTAATGTCAACATTCGAAGTAGGACAGGTGAGTTATCGAGGTGGACTTTAGGTATGTAAAGGTATCGTCTTCGTATTGTTTCTCCACTACAGGGTCAAAACTAAGTTAGTGCACCACTAGGTTCCCTAGGTCAATCAGGAGTGCTGAGTTCTTGCGCCGTATTATCCACTAAATCCAGCCGGCCAATTTTCTTTTTGTTGTATCCAGAACTATGATCAGGTACGGTTCTGGATAGTCCACGCGTATCCAGAACCGTGCCTCGGGAAAAATCTATGGTCTTTGACCCGGAAACTATTGCTGATCGGGACCCTAATATACTATATACAAGACATAGATCTAGATAGGCAAGATTACCCCGGTTTTGGATATAATACCTATCTTCCATAGAGTAGAGGTGCACAAATAGACCATTCAACGAACGTGGCGAAAACGGTCATACCTGGCAGAAGGCGCTACTTATAATAGGCAGAATTTGCCCGTCTTCCTTTGTTCATCATTTTAATGCCTAAATCGTTGTGTTGTCTCGCTGCTCTCTTTTCAAGCGGTGAAAGGGACATATAATACAGGGTGTGATTTGTTTTTCTCTGCACAGCGGCAAACCAACTAGCTAGATGACCTAGTTTTGAAGTGTTGACCAAAGGTCAGTAAATACTACCTGCGGGTTAAAGATTGCATCAGGTATTGAACAGTGTTTCAATCAGATTTTGTTCCTCCTTTTGTTTAACAATCGTTACTATCCAACTAGGTTTCCTGATAACACATATCCGGCAAACGACTTTAAGGGATAGCACCTATAAGGTTAAACATTTTGAAACATTCAGCAGGCTCTGATGAACAGTAGCCGACCTGTTCGGAAGCCCATATTCGGCTATATATGGCAGGGGCTTGCGGTTACAACATCAACCTTCCCTTAGCCAGAACAGAGAGGCTCAGAAAATCATTTTTGTACACCGCTGTCAGACTGTACAATGAGATTTTGTAATAATATGTTATTTCGTACCCCTTTCAAGTATAGTATCCGAATGAATGTGTTTTTTTTAATGCCATTCTTTCAGAATTGTTTTTAACTCGTTTAAATGTCGCAGCTACAAAATATATCTATTTTAAAGATTATGAATGAAGAAAAATGTTTTTAAATGTACATTATACTGCGAATTTTAGTATTTAATCTTAAAATGTTGTAAGTAGTAATTTCAATTTAACGTATTTTTCTAAATGTAATAAGATATTAGCAATTGTAACGTGCGTGCGACTTGTGTACAAATACCTCACAATTTAGCCGCGAGACTGCCATGGGTTTTGGTTTTCAATAAACAAAGTTACATATCTAAGAATAACATTCCGCATATAGTAATGATATCTTGACTTCGATTAGATGAATGGTATCAGATCATTATCGAGTTGACATATCGACGGGGATTTTGAATCTTCAGTGCATTACAGGACCATGGAGACGTTATTTTGCGGACCGCCGTACGAGACTCAGTCAAACAACAGCACGTTTGTACAGCAATGGAATAGCACGTTCGTACAGCAATGGAACAGCACGTTTGTACAGCAATGGAACAGCACGTTTGTACAGCAATGGAACAGCGCAGCACGACAGCACGACAGCGGTCTTCACGATCTGGAATGTCTAGTTGATGGTTTGAACCTACTTCCGCACGTGGTTGTTCTTCCACTTGCCGTTCTGCTGGGTAAGTGAATCCCTCGTGAAGGAACACAATCTTTTTATGCCAAAAACTGAAATATTAAAAAAAATAATAGTCATATATTTTACTTCCACATAGTGTTGCGCAATTATTTCACATTTCAGATATTCGGTGCTAAAACAGCCACACGAAATACAAGTACCACCACAAACTACCAGAATGTAAACAGACATGTTTGATAGTTGTGTTTTCAGCTTTTTTAAAAGTGTGTATAAAAACCACACTCGTAAGGCACCGTATATGTCACCTCTGAATGACACTTATTTGCAATGGAGCAGGGTTGATTCAACTTATATTGCTTACTTTGTAAAGGAATGACTAGAAAAGGTATCTTTAATTATGTTTACCGAAGGAAACTATATTGTTTTTGCTCAATTTCTTCCTCTTCTTCTTCTCCAAAGATTGACCTCTGACCTGACCAATGACATGATTTGTTGACGCCTGTCACCATGGTGACTGGTTTGGGTTACATAATGTTGCAATTTCATGGTCTGCTCTGCTCCTGTCACCATATTCTAGTACTACTAGTAGTACATGTATGTGAATGTGTTTGAGTGAGAATTAACAGAGCAGACTATATGCCAAATTTAAAATTATGCATTTGCTTTGCAAATGTTACCTTTCTAGTTGTATCATGACGTTACATAATGGAAGATAAGAAAAATAAAACACAAAAATTGCCAGATAATATATGTGATCTAGTGATGTTTGCCTTCCTCAACAGTTGCTGCTGTAGGACACTACCGTCGCCATGACTACACCCCTCTGTACAACCAGTCCTGGGTCTTGTTCCCAGGGCACTCTGTCCGCTGGCTGACCATTTTCGCGCTGTTGTTCGTCACGTTATGCGAGGTAATCTTGATTATTAACCCTTGTCCTGCTGGAATTTTTAACCATGTATTTCAATAATTTCAGGTCTAAATCAGGGCACAGAACAATGCCTTTTTTTGCCCTGCGGTGGCGAGGTTACTTCCGCATCCGTTGCGTTTTGCTGCGGTGTGATGCGTTGCACGAGAAATACCCCCAAAATGTACACATACAGGGCGTTATATGGATACTACTGGATGTGCAATCCATATTATATATATATATATATATATATGGGACACACAGAGCCGAATATGGCCTCAAGAACACTAGTAGCTAGCCAAACTCCCCCCAACCATGGTTAACGAGGGGGCAGGAGTAAGGTCGGCTGTGGTTGGCTTGTGTTTTGCCAGGTCGGCTACTGGTCAGCAGAATATTTCAAAATGTTTCAAATTATCGGATGTGGTCCGGACGTTGGTCATGATTGGCTGGTGGTTTGCTGGTGTTCGGGAGTAGGTTGAGGCGTGGGTGGCTGTCAAATTTGAGTCAAACTTAACTCAAGTTTAAAACAAGTCGTGTCAAAAGATAGGCATGGCCTAAGACTTGTCGAACTGCTCCCTAACTTAAGCCAAAGTCAGTTGATTTGGGGCCAGGGGAAGGTTCATGTGTGATGTGTGACAGTGGCTTGAGGTAAATATTTATATTTATTGGTTTATTTGTATCAACATATCAACAACATATCTCGCAGCCTTGACATGCATGGCTGAATTCTGATGTTTGTTTACATACAAATTTAGGTATTTACAATCTTACAATCGTACACAGTATAACAACCTTACGTCGTACAAACCTTATATCACTTAAGTTTTAAAATATGTTGAAGATTAGTCATAAGAAATAAATACATAAATAAATCATCGTCGTAAATCAATTCCTGTGTCACAATAAGGTAGCGGTCAGTGGAACTTGTGGTGCTATTTTATATTTGTGCTGCTCCTCAGACTGTCCCACCTTTGCAGCAGGGGTGTGATCTCCACTAAAGCTAAGGTCCCAATTACGCCGGTGCCCGTCGGGGATGTAGCCCCGGCTGGCCCCGGCCGGGTTCAGGAGTCGAGCGGGCATCGGCTGTCGTGGTCACAATTAAAAGTTTCCTTCAGTAGCATTTTGTTAGAAATTTTGTCACCCTCTTTGGTCGGTATCCGGCAGGCACCCGACAGGTACCCAGCAGATTCTCTGACGATGTCTTGCATTGACCTATACGTAATGCAGAATTCACGTATTTGTTGTGATCATTTGATCTGTGAGGTCACACATTTTACCCGGGTTTACGAAGTACACACCTTTATTCTGTTCATCTGGTCTGTGACGTAAGAAATGTGTCCCGGTGGAATGCCGGCAACCGGAGGGGTACCTCTCGGTGTTCTCACGATGAGGTCACGGCGTCTTTTTGTCAGCTGGGCCCGGGTAGAATTTAACTCAGAATTAAATTCTTATCGGGGCCCCGACGGGCCAAAAAATAGCCCGGTAGCCGCAGGGTGCCCTGCGGGGCCACGTCGGGGTCCCGCCCGAAAGTGGTAAAAAACAGCCCGGGAACTACCCGCCAGGGCCCCTTTTCCCAATTGGGACCTTAGCTTATGACGGTGTTCTTTCAGCGTCTGTTAAGCGCCCAACAATCTGTAAGATTTAGGTGCAGCGTACGTTCTTGTAGTCATTTGGGACAGCAAAGCCAGCAAAGTGATGACACTGTTGTTCTCTACAGGTTGGAGAAGGCGTGATGTCGGACAGTTTCACGGCCGGTCACCACCCCCACCTGTATGTACCCTGGATCACGGCAATCCTGGCTACTCTACTGGGAAGTGTGTTCTACAACATGGTAAGCTCCGTGTTTGTTTGTTTGCTTGTTTGTTTTATTTATTTGAATCTCCACTATACTAGTATTACAGTATTCGTCATCTTGTCCGATACAATGATATGAATCTTTATTCCATGTTCCTGCCCAGAGGGGCTAAATGAACAAATGTGACCAAATGTGGTCGAGAATATTGCATACTGGAACGCTATATTATCTAATGATAATTTCTAGGAGTCTATTACAAGGTTACAATACTATATACTACCTATCATCTACTGTTAGTTGCCCTTTCTTCTTTTTTTTTGAAACATCTGGAAACATAATTACATAGTTTGCCTACTATACAAATTTAAAGAAAAGGACCTGTACAATTGATATTCAGAAAATATGCAGCTCATGTATACGATCGCAAGCTCAGCAAATATTCTATTCATTTTTTATAGAAAAAAAAAACTAACAGTGAGTGAACAATTCGGAGAGAAACAAGAAGCAGTCACAAAGTAGACAAAAAATTCAAGTATCTAAGTATGATAATTAAAGAAAATTGTGGATTTATATTTACAGATGTGGCAATAATGATAGCGAAAATTTTATTTATAACCTTAATAATAACAACAGAATTATGCAGCTAATATCTTGTTTACTTATCATACTTGACTTTTGTTCATTCCATCTTATGGTATTATCATTTTCATGTTTATCAAATAAAGATATGTCTTGAACAATATGTTTAAAACTTCAGGTGGAGAAGTTGAATCGACCGCGTCTGTTGCTGATTCTCGGATTGTACCATATCGTATCAGGGGGGTTCAAGCTCCTCAGACTGTCCCACTTTTACAGCAGGGGTGTGAGCCCGGACAGCCTCCGGTTCCAGCTGGCTTGGGCTTCGGTACTGCTGTACGTCCTGCTAGTAGCGGTGGAGGGATATGTGCTGTGTAAAAGAGTAAGTATTGGAGATTATCACATAGTTAGAAGACGTTGACCAATCAGGCGTCAGTGGTGTTTAAATACCATAAAGACCGCGACAAATATGAGCGCCCGGTTTACAGCACCCTGGGTACGAGATCAGCCTGTGATATCCTCTGTCCTTGGTGCTGAAATGCAGACCTGACAGTTTCGCTGTAGAAACGAGTGCATAAGGCATTCAGGCTGCATAAGGCATCCAGGTGCACACACACAGTCCTAATATTTTGGAAAAGCCTATAATGCTTTTCCGAAACAAAAGTATTATGAGATCGTCATAGTGAAACCACGCGGTGTTCCCTGCCCGATGCATGCCTACCACTATTATACACATTTAAATCTTTCTGATATTGGAAAGACTTGGACTTTTAATTAATGTGTGACTTGTGCTACAAGTAGACACACTCTGTATTCATTTAATATGATGTTGTGTTTTGTTGTGTTGTGTTGCACAGTACAGAGTTTGCTTTTAATGCTAGAAATGTTCTGCAGTTCTGCAAAAAGTTCTGCAGTTCTGCAAAATAGAGCCACAGAGATTCTCCCCTTGTCCTATATGTCTTCACTTTATGGAACAAAATGCAGAATTCTCAGAGTTAAAACAGGATATAGAAGTTTTCTTTTTATCTAATCTTGTCTTACCTTGCTTTAGGTTTCGGTGTCTGTCAGACACCTTCCTCAGATTTTCTAACGCTATGTGTAGCCAAAATAGGTGAGGCTTTAGAGGCGAGAACACAAAGCCCGGTATTAAAGACAAGATTGGTTGTGTCATATCCTATACTTTACCAACCTGATAAAACAGTTACTATTTTCGGAAAAATCTAATACATTTTGATAACAACACCACATCCCCGCTCTTCAGCGGTACCTGTCCCATACTCCAGTGGAAGTCCCAGTACCGGAGGACCTTCAGGATGAAGCCATGCGGTTCGCCCTGCCCTACGCGTCCCTTCCCGCCTGGTTCTCCTTCTCCTGGATGAACTGGCTGCTCCTGCTGGGGTACAGGCAGCCTCTGCAGCCAGAACAACTAGGCAGGCTGCCGAAGGTAATCAGAACATGTGTTTCTTAAACATTAAAGGCATCGAATAAAATTTTAGGGCGGCAAAACGAAAATATTCCGGAAGAGAGAAACTGTCTGATATTGACATGTACTGCCATTTTTAGCACATTTTCGTCATCATTTCATACTTGAAGCATTTTGTAATAGCCCCAAAACAAGCTGAAGGCTTCTTTTTATTTTGGGAGTATATATACTCTAGTAATAGCTAGATAGTACCAACCTACGATACAAAACAAGCAACCATTTGCTATCAGTGACATTGCAACTGTGCCTCATGGATATCAGTATTTTATTGAATAACGTTGTTTCAACTTACTTCATTAAAAGAATGCCGAGACAATTGACGTAAAAAAAAAACAGTTTTACAGCCCTGAACTTGTATTGGATGCCTTTAAAGGGCATTATGCAAAATTGAAAGAAATCTTCATGAGATTATTACTTACTTCCACTTTCAACATATTTGTGCAATTTTCTTACATTTCTAACACTGGTGGTCGGTGCTATAACAGCCCGTATGAGGCGCACTTGGTTATGATACCTCCAAAAGCTACCAGAATGTGAACAAACATGCCTGACTTCGATTTCTTGCATTGTTATCTAGATATTTAGTTATTGAGGAAGCCTCTTAACACGAATTTCTTCACTCCACCTTGGTTCAAATTGGGCACTTGACTTAGGTTGTGGAGGTTAGCCTTGAGGGAAGGAGAGTGTTGGGTTCCGCCTTTTAATACATGCCCTAGACACAGTGGAAAACAACCTAAAGTCCCTACGGCAATTTTACAGACTAGAAAAATTGTCAATGCCAAATATGCTTTATATATCTGGCTGCAGGAAACCACTGTTGAGGTAGCCTTGGATCGCCTGACCAACGTGTACAGAAATGAAAAGGTACGTTAACAATTTAATACGTATCCATTACTATACATGTATAAGCACATCACTGGCCTCCTTGGGCCCAGAACATAGAGGTGTTAAAACATAGGGTGTCAGAACATAGGGTGTGAGAACATAGGGTGTGAGAACATAGGGTGTCAGAACATAGGGTGTCAGAACATAGGGTGTCAGAACATAGGGTGTCAGAACATAGTGGTGTCAGAACATAGGGTGTCAGAACATAGGGTGTCAGAACATAGGGTGATAGAACATAGGGTGTCAGACCATAGTGGTGTCAGAACATAGGGGTGTCAGAACATAGGGGTGATAGAACATAGGGGTGATAGAACATAGGGCTGTCAGAACATAGAGGTATAAGAACATAGAGTGTCAGAACATAGGGGTGTCAGAACACAGTGTCAGAACATAGAGGTGTTAGAACATAGGGGTGTCAGAACACAGGGGTGTCAGAACATAGAGGTATAAGAACATAGAGTGTCAGAACATAGGGGTGTCAGAACACAGTGTCAGAACATAGGGGTGTCAGGACATAGGGGTGTCAGGACATAGGGGTGTAAGAACATAGAGGTGTCAGAACATAGAGGTATCAGATATGGGTGTCAGGACAATAGAGGTATCAGCATACAGGAATGTCAGAACACAGAGTGGCAGAACATATAGGGTGTCAGAAGGTGTCAGAACATAGTGTCGTCACAACAGAACATAGGGGTATCAGAAAGTAGGGGCGTCAGAACATAAGGGTGTCAGAACATAGGGGTGTCGGAACATAGAGGTATCAGATATGGGTGTCAGGACAAAGAGGTATCAGCATACATACAGGAGTGTCAGAACACAGAGTGTCAGAACATAGAGGTTTCAGAATATAGGGGTATCAGAACACAGGGGCGCTAGAACACAGGGATATTACTTGAGTGCATGGCTTTTTTAATTTCTTTTGTTTGTAGGAGAGAGCAGACAGGTTGGGTGAGCCGTTATCTCTGTGGAGAGTCTACATCCGTGCGTTCCTGCTGAGCTGGGACTACGCCGTGTCAGGGTTCCTCATGCTGGTGACGCAGGCGTTCTTACTCCTCTCACCTGTCCTCCTCAAACATATCATCACCTGGGTTACCATGGAGACGGAGAGACAGACAGAAGCAAGCTTACTACAGGTAGGGGTAGGTGTCTTTGTCTGACAACTTACATCAGGTCCTTTAAGTCCCAAACAACCTTTGATCTTAGTTCCTGACGTGAACTAAGCTTATAAAACAAGAATTCGGAGATCTCATACCTCCATGAAATATGAGTTTTTATAATTTTTTTTCATTTGTCTCATTGACTAAATTAGGTCATAATTAGCATAATCTAGATTAATTTATGGCTTTCTAAATTCAAATGACAATATTTTTTGTGTGAAATCCTTTCCTTTGCCATAGCTGTATGTTATGTGAGTGGTTACTAACTGAAGGTAGCCAGGGGGTGTGCCTAGAAACTTGAAACTTGATTAGAGTAGTAGACTTCGTAGCTGAGAGGGCAAAGGCCCGGCACAGGGTCAGTCTGCGTTCAGTTGGAGGTCAAGAGTTAGCAGGGCCTCAGAGTACTCAGAGGCCTCATAGCTCCTACCCACCATGATTCTACAGGCCCTTTTCTGGATTCTTTCTAATATATAGTATGTTGTATGTGTCTATAGTAGACTGCAAAGCGCATAGCAGACTGTGTGTTTGTGCAAACATTACGAGCTGTCTCTGGTATTTGGCCGAGTTGAATAGGGTGTCAGGCCGAGTATACAAGGGAGTTGGGCCGAGTAGGTAACGAATAGAAAGGTCCGAATCTTCCCACCAACCTCTGCTTCCAGAGGTAATGTAGGGTCGTAGTTGGCTGCCCAATTGAAGTAGAATTTAACTCTTAAATTTGATTCCATTTGTAACGAAAGGTGGTTGTGGCTTAAGTCTGGTCAGAACGGCTTGTGTTCAGGGGGAGGTGTGACAATTAGGCTTTACTGACCGGTTAAATTTCTTGTAAAGGTATGGTTTCTACGCGTTAGGATGCCTATAGAGTCAGATTCAAGTAAGATAGGACACGTATCTGATGAGGGCTGACTCCATCTTTATTGTTTACTATTCTAGCGTGGTACGCGGAGTGATCTGAATAAAACTGCACTGTGCTACCGCAAAGTAGTGCGGTGTGGGCAAGGCTCCTATGGTGAAATAGTTATGCCTGATGAGATCATGTAACACCCACATACAACACGGCTTTGCAATCTGCCTCCGATGTGTAATCCCAGGAGAGGTACTTGGTGAGTCCGGGAGAGTTTCTGCAGAACGGGTTCGTGCTGCTGGTACTGCTAATGATCCTGTCTGTCCTGAGAACCGGCACACAGGCCACCTCCATGTGCCTCAGCTTCAAGGTCGGGACCGTGCTCAGGAGGGGCATGCAGGTAGGACATTTTCTGTTTCGTTTTAAAAGAGTATGGCAGTTCATGGTCTAGCCCCTTTGCTAAGTTGATTGTTGTACTTGTAACAGATTTGGAAGATTGAATCTTCGTTGTTGTCAGAAAGCGAGGCATCTTTTCTCGAATAAAAGCACTCTATTTACGCAGCTAAGTGTTTTATACAACCTACATTTTATGTACATGTATATATAACACTCCTGCACATTTGGGACCGCATTGTAGATACCTTTCCTTGTAACTGTGTACACGTGTTTATACTTTGCTGTGCAATGCAATGAATTAAACCGTTCCTTGTAACTGTGTCTATATGTTCATAATTTGCGTTTAGGAACGCATCTATATCAAACCCAACAATAATTACAAATGTATATATAAAGTAGCATTAGCATCACTTATTATCATTCTACTGTTTACTGTTGTTATCATGTTCTTGCAATTAGCCCTCGGGCATGCATTTGCAATAAACTTTCAATTATAAACAGTGCTGACAATGCACCTGTGCTGTGCAATGTTCTTGAACCAATCAGTGCGCTGAGTAAGGTGACAGACGGTCATCAAACGTTGCGTTTTTTTCTCTTATTCAGTGACTTATACCGACCAGATGAAACTATTCATGGTTTCTTGTTTTTTTGCAGGCAATGATCTACAAGAAATGTCTTCTGCTGCCCTCCTGGTTGCTGGAGAATGACAACATCAGTATGGGTCAGGTGACCAACCACATCAGTATGGGCTGTAACATGCTCGCCGCCTTCTTCTTCCTCTTCCACTTCTCCTGGGCAACGCTCGTCCAGGTGGGGTTTACATAGCGTCAATTACTGTACATTTTTATCAGGGCTACATACCCCCATCCTGAAAAATAGAATAACCCAAACAAGCTACCGCATACACAGCGAAGCATTAGACGATCAAAACACGTGCTGTACGGGGGTGTCCGATTATTTTATTCCAACGCTTGAAAAATTATTACAGATAGATAAGAACCTGAAAAAAAAAGAAATCAAGGAAATACGTCAAACGAACCGTGAGCTATAGATGCGAACACATAAATGACATCTCCTGCCCCAAGGTAATAATAACCATTCTGTCCTTTCCACCTCGACATCTGTAGTTCTTCTGACGCGTATTCCTTAGAATTAGACTGAATTGCGTTGATTATACAATTTTGCCAATTGTAAAAACACCGTACTGTTAATAAGCAACATTTCATCAGTCAAAAAGATATTACATTACAAAATCAATTAATTAAAATATGGTAGATATAGTAAAATATACTAACTAACCTATGGTATATTCATGTACAGGCATAAAAATACAAAACTATAACGTGTACAAAAAAGTGACAGGACTTTTCTAAATCTAAACTCAGTCTAAACTCTAAATTCTAAATACTAAATGTATAATATAGAATCTAAAAGCTCTTTGTGACGTTAAATATAAAGGTTGATGTAAATGAAATAGACTGGTCAAAATTCATAACAAAAGTAAATTTTACCTTTCATCTAGTTTAGAGGGAGGCTAGTATAAACAATATACGCTTTTTCATTCTTCCTGCACCTGTTTTATCTATTGTTTAGGATATTATGTACATTCTTACATACAAAGAAACAAACATATAAGCAGGCAAACTGACATGAATGATTCTCCGGGCGCCAGCTGATAGCTGGTACCACACTGCTGTACTACCAGCTCGGGTGGAACGCTGTTCTAGCTGTCGGCTTCATGGTGATCCTGCTGCCTGTAGACCTGGTCATCATGAAGAGAATGCACGTAGTCAACACTCAGAAAATGGTAAGTGGACAAACTTATAAACGTTGAATATAGTGCAATCGGCTTCGCAGGTTCAATGTGGATCACTCATAGGTCTCACAACATATTCACATTGAATCTCGGGACGCTCGGTATCTCTGGAAGAGGTTAAAATCCTGAATCGGACTTCTTTGCAAGAGGAGTGAAGGAGGCGGTCTACATAATAGCTCACAGACCTACCCTGAACAGAGACGGGGGGCGACACAAGTTTTCTGGCACGTATGACCCGCTACTACGGTCACGTGTCTCTGACTTCACGTTCCCAGAGTAGACGGGTCCATTCCGTGAACAAGGTTGATGAAGTCCACCGAAAATTTGGGGTAAGTCCCATTCAGTAATCAAAGTTAAAGATTAGTCTCTATTTCATAATGACCATGTAATATTTTTGGCCCGAAACTGAAAAAAATATTATTAAGAATAAAATTTAACCTTGACATATACAAACACTTTTTAGTATACTTGCATCATTGCTTCGTATTTTTGGTCATACTGAGTATACAGTATGATGTGTTAGGAGTCCAACACTCACAACCATATCGTTTTGTTTGCAGGCAACAACAGACGTCAGGTTGAAATGGATCAACGAGTCCATCCAGGTGAATTTTCGCTTCAAGTCCCTCGCAGATTCGAAACCTTCTACCGACATCGCCTAAGAACACCAGCCAACCCAAATCGGCTGAAGTTCATGAGCAGTCTAATATGATTTAGGCCAACTTTTCTGTGCACATCGAATTTGCGTTAAATTTAAGTCAAATTTCACCCCCAAACACTGCTAACCTACTCCCGAACACCGGTCAGCCCACAAGGCAAGATTTACCAAACCTCGCATCTACGCCGGAAGTTGATAAACATTTTGAAACATTCAGCTGCCACAGCCTAACATCAGCCGACCACAGCCGACTTTACTCCCGACTTATAATCCTAAAAAGGTTTTGGAAAAAGTAAAAAAAAATCCCTGGCTAATGCCCTCGTCTGAGACCATTTGAAATTCACCTTCTTTTTTTTCCTCTAGGGCATCAAACTGCTGAAGCTGTACGCCTGGGAACACCTGTTTGTGGAGAAGGTGATGGAGGCCAGGAAGGACGAAGTGAAACAACTGCACAGCCGCGCATGGTGGAAGATCTTAGCAAGTAAGATCCATTCTATATCTGTATCAGTCTATTTTATCTGTATCTGTATAGCCGATATAACCGCCACGAGCTAACACCAGCCGACCACAGCCAACCTTACTCCCAACTTATACTCCTAAAATGTTTTGCAAAAAGTAAGAAAACCGGTATATGTGGTATATATGGTATATACATGGTTTATATAACGTCAACATTGAACTACCTGTTCCACCAGCTACCTTTGAACGGAAATATAGGTTTTGAGAGCTTTTGAGAGTTTTATTCGAAATTTAGCTGTAGGAACTTTTGCAAGGTTAGATTTGGCAATCCCCGCAATAAAGTGTATGATTTTATATTTACTAACTGGATTTATCTTATAATGAGGTGCCATAACTTTTCTGTTTTTCGCTTCCCAGTATTCTGCAACACAGCCAGCCCTTTGGTAGTGACACTAATAGTAAGTTCATTTTTCATGAACAGACTTTTGGATAGAACTCTGTTTTTCTTAGCATATTTCCGGTCTTGTTCAGGTAAATGTAGTTTTGTATTGTATTTTTGTCCGTAGATTTTCTTATCTCAAAATAGATGGTATAATAGGTTGTCTCTCTACAATATTTTATACGAGGTTGAATTCAATAAACATTGGGTCATGAGAATGGACGTCCCTCCGAGTTGGTAAAAAGTTACACTGTTTTACAACTCGAAAGAAATGAGTATGACCTTGAATTTTCGACTGAATCTTCGTAAACTATCTGACCTAAATTCTATAAACACGTGATTTTACGCACGTGTGACGTCAGCACAGGGTCAAAGTTCGTCGGAAGTCGGTACCGCCTCCCGTCCTGGATGAGGGAAGAATAAAGTTGACAGTCTATCTTTTATGTACTTACAGGCTTTTGGGTCATACGAGTATTTCAACGAGAAGCCTCTGACTGCTGCAGAAGCATTTAGTGCCCTGACTCTCTTCTACACACTGCACGGCCCGTTTTCGGAGATCCCCACGCTTCTGGGCCTCTTCGCCGCCATGTCAGTGGCCACCAAGCGGCTGGGCACGTTCCTGCAGTCACTTGAGGTGGAAGGGGTGGGGGATGATCTTCAGTTTAGTACTGAAGATCACAAAAACATGAATGGGGATGGAGCAGTTACTGCAGATCACAATGAGGTAAGACATAAGCATTGCCATGAAATATTTATGTTTACCGAAGAAAACATATTGTTTTGCTCAGTTTCTTCTTCTTCTCCAAACAGTGACCTATGACCTGACCAATGGCCTTATGTGTTGACGTCCGTTACCACGGTAACTGGTGTTGGGTTGCAATTTCGCAAAACTAGGAGGTATTTAGACTCCTGTCACCATACACATGTGAATGTGAATGTGTCTGAGTAAGAATTAACAGAACAGACCATGTCCAAAGGTAAACATTATGCATTTGCTTTGCAAATATTACTTTTCTAGTGACGTATTGTTTTGTGTGTGTGTGTAAGTACGTGCGGCACTGATGGCAATAGAATGTACATTATTGATTAAGCCAAAAGCATACACATTTAAGTTAGTTCTACATTCTAACTATTTTGCATTTTTCAACATGGCATCTACCACAGAGTACAGAAGTTTTCAACATGGATTTGAAGTTCAGCACATCAAGAGCTCAGACAGACCACTACCTGGCCAAGGACATCTCTGTTGAGGTACGCCACTGATGACTGCAGAATTTAAGTGTAAATGGGCATATGACGTTTAGCAACTTTGTGATTAGCAAAGGATTAGAACTATTTGTTTGATTGTTTGTTTATTTATTTAGGAAGTTCCCATTAGTGATAATAATATACATCACTATTCTTCTTGGAGTCCTTTACATAAAATACAACTATTATTTACATACACGTTTAACTGCTATCAAGGACATTATACTACAGGAAAACTTATCATATCAACATAGTAAATTACACATTAAGCATCAATTAATACATCAATTAATTATATTACATTATACAGTAAACAACAAAAAACAATAATGTAATAGATGTCCGAGAGGTCAGAGGTCATGAAGTTGTACAAAATATATTCAAAACGTTTCGTTCTGTTGCATTCCAAAACTTACTTTTTTTTTTCTAAATGACCATGTTTGGGAAAACGTTTCCGCATTGCCCTACGATAATTTTTTTCACTTCCTAGAAATAATGTCTGTCAGAAACACGTTTAGAGAAATACAACCTGGATTACACTAATTTCAAAATAATGACACAGCTAGTCCTGAATAGAATTAGTCGTCAAGCCTGTCCTGAAAGCCAACTCATTCGGTATCTTTAAAACGATTATGTTGCAAAAACTCCCTAAAGGTACGAGATGGGAGTTTTACGTGGGAGTCGGACTCGCAGACAGCAAACATCAGTGAAATCAACCTGAAGATCCCAAAAGGTAAGTACTCACAGAAAGTCTTGTAAATAGTACACGATACAAGATAACTTCATTGAGAATCGCAGTACTTTGACAATCATTAAGACCATACTAGTAAGACCATGCAGTGGTTAAGCTGGCCCACGCCGTAGCGAGGGGGGGGGGTTCGGAAGAACCCCCCACAGGGCTCAGAGGTCCACTTTTTGGTCCATTTTTCATCTAAAGGTCCAAGATTCGTATCATCAGCGGGCCTGGGATCGTTTAAAAACTGCCTACTTTGTCATTAAATAAAAAGTTATCTTTGATTTTTTTCTCTCAAAAACGCAAGAAATGCCATTTCAGAAGGTTCATTTTTCAAAATTTCAAAATCCTACCTACGGGCATGATTAGCTTCTGTCACGAGTTCGGCTACTGTACGACTGCGCCAGCCGAATGTTTTGAAAAATGTTTGAAACATTCGGTTGTGGACGGGAGGTTGGGCTGTGGTTGAAGACAGGCTGGTGATCGGGAGTAAGTTAACATTATTTAGAGCATGCTTGAGGGTTAAATTTAGCTCAAATGTAAATCAAATTTGATTGTGGGGTCGTGTGGCGTAGCGACAGAGAGCTCGACCCGGAACCAGGAGGTCCCGAGTTCGAGTCCTGACGCCACCGATCTTGTGCACTTGGGAAAGGCACTTTACACGACTTTCCTCACTTCGCTCAGGTGAAAATGAGTATTGTATTATCCCATGTGTCGATGGCGGCATTGATATAACTTGAGTGTGCCGTCACCACGTCTTGTGATTACATGTTGGAATATTAAAAAAAATATAGATTAGATTCGTATAGAAATGTTGTCGTGGCCTAGATCTGGTCAGACTGCTCCCGAACATCTGCCAACCTTGTTGGTTGTTTGGCGGTCGGCGAAAGTTTTAAAGCCAGTATCCTCATCGACAACATCGTAGAATGTAAAAAAATGTGTAAGAATTGTTCCGTAGTATCTGAGAGCATCATGTGCAGGCCTCGAGGAGGGTGGGCGTTTTGATACTGCGTTTTGTAGAGTTTTTGTAGAGTTTTTAACGCCTTATTTTTTTTGCTGGCCATCCTACAACCAGCCGCCCAGAGAAGGTGTTTCGTGGCTGGTAAAAACTTCTCTGGGCGGCTGGTTGTAGGATGGTCGGTAAAATAACATGTTAAAAACTCTGCAAAACGCAGTATCAAAACTCCCGTCCGGATGCCTGCACAGGAGGTTAGTATCTGAGACAAAATGGAGTTGTTTTCATTAATCGCTAAACCCTTTCAGGAAAGCTGACCATAGTGGTGGGACAGGTGGGTTCTGGGAAATCCTCCCTGCTGTCAGCCATGTTAGGAGAGATGAGGACATTGAAGGGAAGAGTTCTCTGGAACAAGTAAGTACAAGCTGCAGTGTGGCGTAAAGGCAGGGTGTTTGACCCAGAACCAAGAGTTCCCCAATTCGAATCCTGTCACGTTACCGATATTGTGTCCTGGGGAAAATGGCACTTTGCACAACTTTCATCACTCCATCCAGGTGTAGAAATGGGTACCTGTTACATGATCTCATCAAACATAATTATTTCACCATAGGGGCCTTGCCCACACCGCACTACTTTGCGATAGCACAGTGCAGTTCTATTCAGATCACTCCGCATAGCACGTCAGACCAAGTAAACAATAAAGATGGAGTCAGCCCTCAGATAAGTGTCCTATCGTACTTGAATCCGACATCTATTCGAAGTACTGATAGACATCAGAACGCGACAGTACCCAACCTCGATTGGTGCACCTGGTGAGGTAAAAGGCAGTACATGGAAGGGGAGGGTTGGGCTCCACCTTCCAATACCGTACCCTTGACACAGTGGATTAACAACCCACTGCCCCTACGGCTGAAACTAATGACAAACAGAGAGACAACGTTAAGTATCTATCTATGTCAGTGGCAACACATAGCTGCAATGTGAAGTTACCGACTGTAGAACAAGTTAACAAGTCAGCATTGCCCTGAAGAAGGTGACAGATGGTCACCGAAACGCCGGGTTTGTAACAGAGAATTTATAGATATGTTATCCATGGATTTATCATTTGGGTGGTAATGAAATGATGGTTTTCTGTTCTCTATGCAGGAAACAAAATACCATTTCCTATGCTACTCAGAGAGCCTGGCTGTTAAACGCATCCCTTAGAGATAACGTTACGTTTGGTCTGCCATTTGACAATGCAAGGTTAGTATGTTTAAAGTTAAAACTTCTGTTCCAACACAAATGATTGTTCTCACCTCGAGCTTTCACCAGTCACACCGATCTTCTTCAATATAATGACCAAGTGTGGCTTCTCTGAAGTGTGAGGTTAAGACAGGGTCAAAGGTGTCCGCACCCGTCACGTGATGAGTGTTGAGTGATGGACCCTGATGTAAATAGCTTCTTTCACCCTTCTCAGTAATTAGTCTTGTTCTGTGTCCAGTATTCTTAAAGTGACCAGCAAAACGGAAGAGTGATTGGTCAAAAGCTAAAGGTGAGAAGAATCAAAGTCATGTAACTACCAACACAGATGTTTTCATGGCATTATAATGAGTTGAGACGGTGGTCGTGTGGTGTGGTGTGTGTTTGTGTGTGTGTTTGTGTCTTAGTGTGTGTGTATTTGTGTTTATGTGTGTGTCTTCTCACTTTTTTGCACTTAGCAGGTGTTAGAGTCGCTCTTTTGCGTTTCCTAATCTGCATTATGATACATTTTACAGGTGTGTGATGCGTAAGAGACATAGGGAGATAGAGAGAGACACACGAACAGACAGATGGACACAGGGAGAGAACAATTGGACAGAGAAAAGACAGGGAGAGAGATAAAGATAAAGAGTCTGAGCATGAGATGATCCTTATTTAGAGTTCATCTCTGTTAGTAAACTTCATGGGCAAGAAAGGAAGCAAAAAAGAAGAGGAAGACAGACTCAATTCAGCTCTGCCTTTTGTTTCTTGATTGGCAGGTACCAACAGGTGATATCGGCCTGCTGCCTTCAACCTGACATCGACATTCTCCCAGCTGGAGACATGACAGAGATAGGAGAGAAGGTAACATTGCCTTATTATTCGATAATTGATGCGATATTTTATTTCATTTATGTTATTATACAGTGACTGCATATCGTCAATAAGGCATTTTTAAAATACCCTGCCGGCATAGAAAAACAGAGTTTAGTTATTTAAATTATTTGGAATTGTAGTTGCTACGACAAACATTTTTTTTTTGTAACAGAGACATTAAATGCATAAAACATCAGTTTGGTAATACGAAGTAGTATGGATGAGGAAATATGCCTGACATATTTGAAAATTATATCATTATATTATAATTGCAAATATCCCCCCCCCAAAAAAAAGCTAGGTAAGGAGTCCCTTACGATACAGATAAAGCAACAATTTTCTGCCAGCGTCTCACAGTATGATTATGGCAGTAGATCGCTACGTTAAAAAATGACCCAAGAAATCCAGTTTTATACTCGCACCGTTTCGAGCTGTGATGACAGTCCGTATTTTGAGCAGGGGATCAACCTGAGTGGAGGACAAAAGCAGAGAGTGAGCGTGGCTAGAGCGATGTACGCACAGACAGACATAGTTCTACTGGTAAGCAGCATTTGGTAGAAATGCCATTTAGAGAACAGGATTCTGCTTTTGTAACACCTAAAAATTAATTCTGTAAATGTCTTATAGCCTGATTATGATCCAATAACCTATACAAACCTGATATTCTGAATGTGATGGTGATCAGCACGTTTGCAGAACGCACTGCACTTGCGCAGAACCCGTAATGTATTTTGCATAACATTTCGTTCGGCAGAACATCTCATATAAGTTCGTATTCGCGCATATAAGGTTAACATCCCGTCTGTAGTTTCCAAATGTTGCGTCGGAAAACAACCAAACAACCAACAAAAACTGTGATAAATTAGGATTCTGCGCAGGCGCAGTACGTTCTACCAACGTGCTATGGTGACCCGTGCTGACCTTTTGACGCCTGGGTCACGTGACTGTCCTCTTCAGTAGCTAAAAAAGGGCGGTTGTCGCTTCTAAACTTTACAGAAATTTAATCTTGGGTATCAATGTAAATCATTCAACTTAATTTGTGACGGTTCATCATTTAGTTTTGCTACATGTTATCTATAGTCTACAGCAGTTTTGTGCGTTTTTTGACCAATCGAATTACAGGACGACCCACTGTCAGCCCTGGATGCGCATGTCGGAAGTCACCTGTTTGACCAAGGCATCATGGGACAGCTGGTGAAGGATCGTCGTACGGTCGTCTTGGTAACGCACAAGCTGCAGTACCTGGAGCATGCGCACTTGGTAAGCCGATGGCCGTTGTAATCATATACAGTCACAAAACAAAGAAGAATGTGCAACTTGAACTCTCTGACCAAGAGTCTAACTTTGATAAGTTAGCAATGTGTGGAAATAAACCTTGAACACAGTTACTCGCATGGTAATACCAGACATAGGTAACCCCCACTTCGTAGAAAAAGGAATGGTATATGAGAATTAGCACTGAAACGTTGTTCTACTTAAGATCTAGTTTTCTATCAGGTCATGCCTGGTTGACGTTAACAAAGTTCTAGGGTATTATTGATATTCGTCAGTCGGCTGAGGAGCAGTCTATCGAAAGTCTAATCAGAAAAAGACAGTAGCCGGTCTGCAGACAGCACAGCAATGTTGTCTGGGCTCAAGTTACCAGCAGGTTTTGGATGTAGGTCAGGTAGTTCATCTTGTGGCGTTCTGGACGCCTTTCGCTGTAGGGAGAGACATAGAGGGCGTATCGTAACATCTTATTGGTCCCTCTTGGAAGCTTCGGGCATCCTGAGGGAGTGTCCAACAAAGCGCAATTGCCGCAGTCTGACTCTGTAGATGAGAGGCTATGTATTTAAACTTTAAACTTGGCCCATATCACATACATACAGGAATATAAAGTACAGAAAAAGGACTGAGTAGCTAAAATACTACTTTGTAAATGACAAACTTAAAAAGACAAGATTAACGTAATGCCGCTAAAATGGGCTAAGATAAAAACAGTCGGAGTGGGCAAGAGTATGTATAATGGATCTCTCAGAAGAAAGCAACCGGGAAACGAACGAATGGGATGATTTACGAAGCTTAGCGTCAAATGTGTCAAGCCTGTATGTATCTGTGTCCCTATTCATTTATTTTTATTGATAAAATCACGTCTTAAAAAATCCTCTTTCGATAACCAGATTGTTGCCATAGAGAAGGGACAGATCATAGCGACAGGAACGATGGAGGAAATCCGCGAGTCTTCTCCGGACCTGCACGGGAGCTGGATGGACGCCATTAGCGAGTGTGTGCGACAGATAGACGAAGGGTTGGAGCCGAATTCTGGACCAATATTCCAGTTACGTATAGACTAGTCACTGGTTTTGTGTGCTTCAGTCTGTAGATCTTTGCATCCTATTCTTAAGTCAGACAAAGAAACACCCGGTGGTTATTGCACTAAACATTAGCTATAGAAAAAGAAAAACACCTTGTTGAAGAAAACATCTTTCGTCCCAACAAAAAGTTACAGATTTTCTTGAGAAAAGTTTTAGTATCGTTTTCTGATTCGTTGGCAATGCTATTTCTTTTCTTGATAATATTCTAACATTTCAAAGTAATAGTTCAGCAAGAACAATACAATCAGTGGTTGGGACGAAATCTAGGCCAAATTCTGGACTGATAGTCCAGGTATGCATTATATAGGGACTGTGTTCTCAACGCTTTGATTTGATTTTGTGTGATTTTGATTTTCAGCACCAAGTAGAGGGCCAGGTAGAATCCAGTAGGTTTTATTTTTAAAACTGGTATCTAAAGCAACATTTGCAAATACCAGGAGAGTTTCTATTAACACAAAAGTTGCAGCTCACATTTAATTGAACATTTAATTTCTTAGAAAAGAAGACCAGAACGTCGGCGACAGGAAAGAAGCTGAGAACGGTTCAGCTGTTGTAGCTCACCACCTGATACACAACGTGAACAGGCTGTCCCGGCACATGTCAGTCACCAGTCTAGTCTCGTCTGTAGAGGATATTTGGGTCAGGGGCTCGGATTGCTGTGAAGACGAAACAAAGAAAGGTATGCTTATTAAACATCATTTTAATAGAAAACTTTTAGCTCCTGTACTTTTTATAACAGCAGCTAACTAACTCATTTACACTAACTTTGCCCTCGCCTTTTTTGTTTTTTTAAGGGATTGGCTAAATTTTGTCTTCATCTCATTTAGATATCAATTTTTGATTTTAGATAAATTTCTTTCCAATAACAGATAAAATCACCAATTAAAAGTTGTGGACGCTACTCGAAACGTCTGAAAGATTTCGAAATATTTCCAGTTTCTTGTTGACTTTTTCATTTCATTTTCCACCATAAAGATTATGAAAAGTCTGTTGAAGATACCCAGATTGAAGACAAAGAAAATGAGCCTAACGGTAAGTTCTGGCGTCCTTTCTACTCGTCATTTTACGTTCTGTCCAAGATATAAGAAAATATTAGGGAATATCAATTTTTTTCACAACCACTTGTTTGCAAGAGTTTCGATGACCGTCTGTCATGTTCATTAATGTTTTTCAGTTCTGTTTTTTTTTCAGTTCTTTTATTCGCACTTTAAAACAAAATGTATACAGTACAATACAGATACAAGACTAGAAAGGCCAATATTTGCTTTGGAGCAAATACAGCGATGGGTTCACAACATTTTACCACATGGCAGGGAAAGAATGAGAAACACAAGGGAAAACAATGATTACATTGATATAACTATAATATGAAGTAACATACAACTAAAACAACAGTTGTATAGCTATTCCCTACTTTATTGGTTAGGATTTTTAATTGCATAATGCAAACTGTTGATTTTCAAATAAAATAAAAACGTTCATGCCCCGCATTCCAATGCTGGAGCAGAAAAGCTTGAAATACCTACCAAAACACTTGAATAAAGACATACTGTCAGTATGGAAATGCTTCTGTGCAGGTGTTAATCAAGTTAAATCCCAACAGCCAATCAGCAAGAAGTATAGAGGAAAGCTGCATGCCTATTGGTTGATGCCCTGCATTCCATTGTCATGACTCATGCCCAAACGTGGTAAACAAGGCAGACTAACACAGTAATACATTTGCTATAACACAGCCAAAAAATTCAAATAAAACCATTCTAAAAGCCTGTATCACAAAAATTTAAAAAACGCCTAGGGGTATTTGCCCACTGTACCTCCATACCAAATTTCAGGACCTTAGGCCCTAAAATGAAGAAGCTGAATCCATTTAAAGATATGGCAGGAGGAGGAGGAGGAGGAGGAGAAGGAGAAGAAACATCAGAAAAAGCAATATGGTTTCACCACACCACGTGAACCCATAATAACCCGTATATACCTGATCTAATGATATGGTTCGCCATCTCGGATTTTGGCCAATGACGTCATCAAATTAGCATAAATTATGCATTTTTAATAATAAAATTTACATATT